AGCAGGAATTAGCAACCCCAGAATCTCACTCCCATTTCTGGAGGACCCTCCAGCTGTGAGAACTTAGCCGTGCACAATTACCTTCACTTCAAATAAAAGAACTTATTAACACAGGTCCTCATAAAAGAATGAAAGATCCTATTCACTTGGAAGTTATGAACAGGCCTTTTCTTCTACCATTTTCCCACGAAAAGATCTATGAAGCAGAAATAAGACCTGAGAATGAATTTGCGGTTGCTAACCAAACTACTCCATCTGACCCTGACACAGGAAATAGGAAGGATATGGGACATGTTGGGAAAGTAGAGAAGCATCTGATTTATGTGACCCACAAGAGAATATCTCTACAGCTTCCCTAAACAAATTCATTCCAAATTATTATACATAATATAGGCAAGTGCTGATTTCCGTATCTGTGCCTTTCAACTCTCTGCATTTATCTATTTTGCCTGGAAGCAGCACTGAGTTCATATCCTTTAAAAAAAAAAAAAAACACCAAAAAACCCACAAAACTAATGGCTATTCCCATTGGGGGAGTAGGTATAAAAATGACTCTGGAAGCAGGGAAATGGAAGTAGGGGAAGAAAATAGAGGAAAAGAAAGGAAGAGGAAACTACATTAGTTAGTGTGTTTCCAAGTCCTAAGTCAAGAGAAATCTTTCTCTGTGCGTTCCTCTTTGGAGCCAATCTGTTCTTCAACACTAGATGGCACCATTGACTAATCTCATCTTGGCAAGAGACTCATTTGATTGCCAGTTCAACATGGAGTTGGGAACCATCCCCAGAGTTGCTTCCCACCACTTCTGCTTTTGGCTGCAACCATCCGGCTAGACTTTGAGGGAATCTGGAGAGCATATGGGTGCAAAAAAATTGGGTCAAGTTGCCACACCTTCACCCCTACTGTACTCTACTATACACTACTGCTTGGGCAATAAATATACAAGGTTTTTCTCTGCCCTTCGGATACTTCATGCTTTGATTTGCCTCACTCCTGATTTCTTTAAGGGCCATATCCAGTGGAGTGCTGGTAAATGTGTAACAACCAGGTCTCTAAAAAAGAGGAGAAAGGATGTTGATTTGTGGCCTTTGCCAATTTCCCTGGTGTAAATACTCCCACCATGGCTGATTTCAAAACCAACATGAATTGGGAAAAGATGCATATTAGCACACCATTACATACTATTACCTAAATATGGATACAAGAGCTAAAGATAACCTCAAGAACACAGATGACAGTAAACCATAGTAAAATGATTAAGCTATGATGCATAGTTAGTATTTATTACCCTTTTCAGATATCGTTTATTTCATTGTAAATTTATACAATTTGCCTACTGCATGAGAGTCTCTGGTAATCTGTGTTTTTAAGAAATAGGTGGTCTCTGCACATATGGAAGTTAGAGAACCTTTATTTTGATGTAGATAAACCTACCAACTTTTTGCATTATCGTTAGCACTTTGTAGATCATATTTAAGAAGTCTTTTCCCAGCTCAAGATCTCTTCTCATACATATATGTCTATTACACTCCACAAAGTGTCTTCCTTCTCTGCAACTTAGCACCAGTGTCTACCTCTCTCTATATGCTACAGCTAGTATCTGATCAATGATAACATAATTTGGCTAAACTTTTAACCAAAATAACCAACTAACATCCTCAGTTCATCTGTTATCCCCTGCTTCCTCATTTTCAACCCTGGCTTTATCCCTACCTCTTACCCCACAGCAGATAAGACTCCATTACTGTATCACACACTTGAAAGTTGCTAAGAGAGTAGCTCTTAAATGTTCTCACCACATCCCAGACTTAAATGGTCTCAACAACAACAACAAAGTGCTAACTATGTGAGGTGATGGATGCATCAACTAACCTTACTGTGGTAATCATTTTGCAATATATACATGAATCAAGTCACCACATTATACACCTTAAACTAACATGTTATATCAATTGTATCTCAATAAAGCTGGAAAAAAAAAATACTTATCCAGGGGTTTCCTGTAGCCCATGGCAGACAGCCGATGCCTCAAGGATCTGTGCCCCTGTTCAAGAGTAGGGACGGGGGACTTCCCTGGCGGTCCAGTGGTTAAGACTCTGCACTTCAAATGCAGGGGGTGCAGGTTTGATCCCTGGTCAGGTAACTAAGATCCCACATGCTGCACGGTACGGCCAAAAGGTAAAAAATAAAAAATAAAATTAAAAAATATTTTTTAAAAAAGAGTAGGGACAGGATAAAAGTTTAATGCATATGCTACTTCTCCCCCACCCTAGAATACCCCATATTTTAACCAATGTGAACCAATCACAAGAGTTGGCAAACAACCACGACTATAAAAACCGAAAGTTCAAGGATGAAATTAATTCCCTCCCAGAAGAAAAGGACACTTCTATACCCACAACTCACCAGGGCCCAGATGCTCACGAGGGAGGCACCACTGAGGTGGGAGATGTGCCCCTTGAACCAACCCCCATGGGGGTCCCGCGGTTGCAAAGGCCGTCCTTCAGGTGTATTCACTGCTGCAATGGCACCATCTATCCTACTGCTCACCC